TTCCTATTGTTCAGTGTTAGAGGAGCTCAGCTTAGTCTGACAGTTTGCCTGCCCTGGACCAGGTTAGCTTTCCAGCATAAGTTGCCACAGTGACTGATTTTGATCTTTGTTAAATTTGTTTTATGGAACCAAATCATTTGACAGTGAGTCAGACTAACTGAAATAAGCCTGGCCTATTTGGTAAACTTGTTTTATGAAACAGGCCTCGAGGCTTTAGAAGTCAGTAGTCACATAAGTTAATTTATGATTTGCTGTCTGTCTGAACCAAAGAAATAAATGCGATCATATTTTTTCCATTGCATCGTATTGCATCGAATTGCATTGTGTTGAATCGGATTGAATCGAATCGAAATCGGATCGCACTGCATCATAATAGGGGTGAATCGTATCGCATCGCTAGCTACTTCATATGTTCAATGTATCGTATCGTTGGCTATGCATCGAGATGCATATCGCATCTGCCTCAGTTATGGAGATGCACATCCCTAATACAGAGATAAGCAGACTGTTTGTATTAATCCAGGGCATTCAGAAGACAGGGAACAACCCTCTGTTGATTCTGACAGGCATCTAACAGACAGCACAGAGAGAGGAATAGTGAGAGAACATTCTGCTGTCCTTGAACAAACCCCCTCTAATGTGGGAAAAGCAGCGGAGTGGGGACAGAAATTACTTCATGGAGACACTTACTGTCAGTCTAGTGGGCAGATACATTAACAGCAAAAGCCTCTGAGAATAACTGTCATAGGAGGGATGCTGCAAACATCCAGCAGAATTCAAAGAAACTGAATAATTGTTGTGACCTTTTTCGATCCTGTATATGTGAAAACATGAAAATTATAATTTAAATTAATTATTAATTAACTAAATGATTTTAAACACACACAAACACACATTTATAATTCAATTTATAAATAAAAATAATAATTTAAATTTTTTCAAACACGTATAAATACATTTGTATATACTGTATGTATATATGTATGTATATATATATATATATATATAAACAAAATATCAATTTATTTTTATTTTATATACACAAAATTAACATGAAAAAGCACATAAAATGAAAAAAGTTCTATAAATAAAATATGTATATAATATTCTATATATTCTGATTTACACTGATGTCTAAGAGAAAAAAATGAAGAAAAAAAGATGTCAAAACTCATTTTCCTCTTGAGTCTCATTCATCTAGAAAATATCTGAAAATATATAAAAGATTGAATCTGAAATCTAAATGATTGATAAGGGAGTCAGCCGTCTCAGTGCAGTGCGGAGGAGAAAGTTCTAGACAGTGAAATTGTGAAAACATCAAGTTCTGGAGCTTTCAGTGCTAGTGCAAGAGAAAAAAATTACTGAATCATGCTACTATGGAAACGTATGTTGGCAGCAGGAGAAGTAATGTGTGACTATTAGCAAACCTTCCTGTTCAAACAGATAGACATGATGTCTGAAATATCATGCTGCGACCTTGAATGTGAGAGTGAAAAAAGCAAAGAATGAAAGAGATGCAATGCTTATTTCAGTCTCTCACAAAAGGCTTGTGAGGAAAAGGAGAGTCATTTGGATCTATGAAGCTATATAAATATGGTTTCCTGTTGGTCATCGGTTGTGTTATAGTTTGTCAGTTTGGAACACTTACATGAGCAGACTGCCTGGTGCAGACATGGATCTCTCTTCTCTCCTGCTGGGACACTCAAATGGATTGCCAAAGGAACGCTTCCTTAACATGGCTTTGACCAAAATCTACAGTATCACGGGAAAGAAGGGACAACAAGATTTAGCTTACTGTATATATGAAAGAATACAGATCAGGGCATATGGAAATACAATACATACAAATACAAAACGTGAAAGGAAAAACAGCAGTCAGCTAAAAATACTCTTTGCATTTACTGGAATGTGATGGTGAGAAGGACTAAATCCATAAAAATAACCAAGGAAATTCTGACAGTTCAGAAGCAGGATCAGTTTGACACGTGGTTAGGTTTCAGTTGTTTGGTTGAGGTCAAGTCAAGTCAAGTCAAGTCACCTTTATTTATATAGCGCTTTTAACAATACAGATTGTGTCAAAGCAACTGAACAGCATTAATTAGGAAAATAGTGTGTCAATAATGCAAAATGACAATAGTAAACACAAATTTTTCAGTTAAAGACAGTTCATCATTGAATTCAGTGATGTCAACATCCAGCTCAATTTAAATAGTATCTTTGCAATCAAGTCAACGGTATCGCTGGAAATGAAGTGTCCCCAACTAAGCAAGCCAGAGGCGACAGCGGCAAGGACTGCTTTGGGTGAGAGTGATCTAATGTTTAGTAGCCCAAACTTTAAGGTCAAGTGTGTCTTTACTTTCTTATTCATCTCGTTGACAGCAGTACAATGTCTTAAGCACATCTGTGCAAGGCTTACGGCCTGTGTGTATTTATGTTCATGTAGCTACAGTTCAGTAGCTCATGTATTTAATACAGAGACACCCTTGTTCTTTCTCTGTTTCACTTACCACAGCAGACAGACTTGGGACAAACTTCACTGAGTTCTGCACCTCTTCTTCAGTGACCTCCACCACGGTACAGTGCTCCTCTTCTAAAGGCAAAGGGTCAGTGCCATCCTGAGTCACCCAAGGGTCCACCTGAAGATAAACACACACACACATATATAACACATGCCAACCTATCATTCCATCCATCCATTTTAGTCTTCTGTTCAATCTTCCATTTGTCTAGCCATCATCTATCCTTCTATTCACTGATTCATCCACTGATCCTTTTATTAATCCATCCATCCTACCATTTATATGTCTGTAGATGTGTCCATACATCCATGCTTCCATCCATCCACATGTCCATACATTTTTTCTTCCATCCATTATTCCATTCGTCCATCCATATATTGTTTCATGTCCAGCCATCATATCCTTCCATTTATTCATCCATCTATCAGTCCATCCACCCATTTATCCATCTGTCCGTAGATCAGGTTAGACATATTTTCTTTCATCCATCCATACATTTATTGTCTTATCCATCTAGTCATCATCTATCCTTCCATTCATCCATCCGACCATCAATTTTTTCCATTCATTCGTCCATCCATCTAACCTTCTATCCATCCATTCGTTCATTCATTCATTCTACCATAAATCCATCAAACTATCCATTCATGCTTTCATTCATCCATCCATCCATCATATGTCCATAGATCAGTCCATACATCCATTCATCCATCTATTGTTTCATCCCTCCAGCCATCATCTATCCTTCCATTCATCTATCCATTGGTCTGTCCACACATCTTTTCTTCCACCCATCCATCCATCATCTATCCTTCCATTAATCCATTCATTGGTCCATCCAACCTTCTATCCTTCATCCAACAATCCTCTCATCTATCCATCCATTCAAATGTCCATAGATTGTTCCATATATCCATTCTTCTATCCACCCATCAAATAAGTAAATCATTAAAGAAATAAAATATTTGTCCTACAAACACAGTTAGTCTGAAGGATATGAGAGCAGAGCTGTTGAGTGAATGTAGGCCGTGCAGCCCTGATTAACGTGTGGTCTGGGGATCGCTGCTTTAATGGAACATTTTCTGGGTAATGACATGCAGGCAGGAGTCTCTGACGGCCGAGTGTGTGTGTGTGTGTGTGTGCGCTAATTATTCACACTCACTGTCACACTGAGACAGCAGATGGAAGTTTCCAGAACTGAACCAAAATCTCTGTCCATGGGGATTATCTGATGTGTTCCTGTCCAAACACCAAGTCTGCTAGATGGTGCAGAAGCTATCAGACATACTGTGTCATATTTTAACACTATCCCTGGACGTGGCTCAGGAATGGTCTTTGATAGAAACTGTTGTTTTAAGAGTGCAGAATAATGGGACACTCTTGGGAATGCTCTTTGGACAATTCTTTTTGAGATAATGACTGTAATTTCAATATTAAGTGATGTTGTACTCTCTTGCTGGTATGCATGAAGGAAAATTCAGGTGATTTTTTAAGGAAAAACACATTAATAAATAATCCTATCCCAATCAAAAAGGTCAAATGTGGTCATTCCTTTCAGTTTAAATAGATAAAGTCCTCAGTGAATCTTTGAAACTTAATATCTTGCAATACAGAGCTGTAAAGATGGTTAAAGGTATTACTCCTTTCCATTTTATGTAGACTTACTTTGATCTCAGGAATGGTGATCCTGGTGTCTGGGTTTTTGTCCAGCATTTGTGAGACCAGGTTCTTCAGACCCTCACTGATAGCTGGACTGAGATATCACAGAAACACAAGAGCAAATAGCTGAAGCAGTAAAACAAAAACAAAACATCTGACTGTACGGCTAAACATTATTTACGTTAACATGGACATCAGTAATCTAATTATTTACCTTATTCTAAATAAGCCAATATTATGATTATGGTGTTTACATGAGTTGCTTTTAGAATATTCCTTTCATGTTCCCGTTTTACATGTTATCCACCTTTTTCTTCAACGCGGAAGTAAGCCTATGGGTGAGACTTCCGGTTCATTAACCGCTATAGGTAAATAACGAGGAGAATAACAACGTGCAGTAAACAGTAAAACTGTTTGCACTACAAACCAGTGTGTTCATAAATAAGATAATACATTAAAATAATATGATAAGACACACCAATTTTCAATATCAAGCAGCAAAACGAACTGTTTTGTACAGCTAAAAAATAGCTGGATGCAGATGAGACCGGAAGCCAGACCCATAGAATTTACAAATGGCCGCACCCATTTTTACGACAAGAAAAAGGTGGGTAGTACATAGTTCGATTAATGGCACACGTCATTACGTCCCACGTGACGCCATCCGACATCCCCTCCAGAATTTCATGTATAAACATATAGTTTGTTCGTGATGAGCACTGCCGTGTGTGTATCCTGTCGCAAAATGCGGCGAAAAGTCCTACACGATGGTAATAATGTGATTAAGGTATTTACATGTCTATACTGCACTTCAGCAATGCGACTAAAATAGGAATACTCCACATGTCTTAATTCGATTTCTGTTTAATTCGAATATGACTTTAGCCGGATTAAGGTAATCAAAAATCTCTGTTTACATGGTAGATTCTTAATCAGAGTATTATTGTCTTAATCGTGTTAAAATCTGAATATTGTTGTCCTTGTAAATGTATCTAAACACTGTTTCAAACATACACTGACTGCTGACTGTCATCTGTAACAATCAAGAGAGCTGAAGAGCTCAGCTGAACTAAACACAGAAGAAGAGGAGGTAGGAGGTTGATAGTTAACTTACAGAAGAACATAAAAAACACAATACCTGTATGTAAGAGAAAAAACACTCTACCACCTTTAATAGGTAGGGTGAGGCTAAAGGATTAATAACTATCTTTAATGCTGTTATAACTTAATGTAGAGAATAAAATGGTATTGTACAGTAGACTACAGAAGCAGTACAGAAGAGCAGAGTATTTTTCTTCCTGGTACAACTATCTAAACATCCTTAATACAAGATGGATTCATATAATATCACTAGAATTGGCTGACTCTGTTGAATATATCTATCTAATTTATTTTCTTGTTTTAAGCATAGACTTGACAAAATTTTGTGAGGTTTATGCTTAAAAAAGAAACTAAAAAAGCGAGGAGAAGAGGCAGTTATAGCAAATACAGTACATATACAGTACTGTATATTATATACAGTTACAGTAGAGTTTTAATACAGCACTTGGTTTAACCCCCCCCACCCCCCCCCACAAAAGCTTGGGATCAGCAAAAAAAATATTTATTTATTT